GTGCATTTATTCTATTGTGGTTTATGCGCCATCGACGAAGTAGATTTAATTCCATCCAATCATGTTTAAATGAAATGCAAGAAAAATGCATATAATTTAATATTCCGTACAAGGAAGTCATGTGGCGCCCACATCAGATTTTTTGATTATAGTATGATAAATTTAATTGATATAAGGAAACTACTCTTGAAGTGATACTACTAGAAAAGCTAAAAGCTTAAATGTTTAACGTAAACAAAAATTCAAGTAACTAATTATGATAAATCGAGATTTACTATCTCTCTTTGTTAGCATCATCTAGTCTTGCATTCTTTGCATGAGATTTTAAAAATTCCTGTTCTGTATACAATATAATTTATAAGCATTGTCTTTTACGGGTGTAATATTTCATTACAAATGTATGTCCAACGTTACCTTTATTCTTTATACATAAGCAAAAGTTCAAGTAATTAATTATGATAAATCGAGATTTAATATCTCTTTCTTTGTTAGCAGCATCTAGTCTTGCATTCTTTGCATGGGATTTTAAAAATTCCTGTTCTATATACAATATAATTTGTAAACATTGTCTTTTTACGTGTGTAATATTTCATTACAAATGTATGTCCAGCTTTATCTTTGTTCTTTATACATACGCAGAAACATTCTTATGCATATTTTTAAACCTATTCAGTAAAATTAAAGGAAATTTGATAGTATGATAAAAAGTACTTCGGTATATAATTTTATAGCGAGGAATAAATTATAAATGAGTAAAAAATTTTAATATAAAGTTTTTATAATGCAAATGTTTGGAAAACAACTGAAAAACATTTTTGAAAAACGTTAAGTAACTCAAACGTAGATCAGATTCCTTCAACTTAACGGGATAAATGATCTACCCTAACTCTATCACAAATATCATAATATGGTTTCAAACTAGAAATTAATGTATTAATGCAAACATAAAGCTTTGGTTTCACCTCTGTCACTAAAGCAATTTAAGTTTGTAAGGTTTCTTGGAGACTGCAATAGCTGCTGCATCATCATCCACAAAACCCAGAGCCAGATTCACTTGTGAGGACCCTTTGACAATGACTCCACCTTTACTGAAAATATTCAAGGATACGCATTCATTTCACGAAAGGTCTTCCTATACAAAGAAACTTTTACAGGTCTAATCACATTCCCTCGTGTTAGCTGAAAAAACATGAGTCTCTCTTTCTCCCAAATGTAAATACATTAAGAATCTTTGTTTAAAATTATTTGTCAGTAAGTTACATAAAACCCAGATTTTCTAATTCTAAATCTTATCTTCTTTAGACTAGAAGAAAAACACGCTAATGTGACAATCAAAATCGTAAAAACAACCTTGTATTTAGCGTAAGTATATTGAATCACTCAATCGGTTTCGAGGGCAGCTAAAGGTCCCTCCTCATCAGGAGAAAAAAAATACCTAGAAAGAAGAAAAATAAAGGGGAAGGAGTCTCAGAAACACGTGGTCCTTATCAGCACTGCACGTGTTTATAACCGGATTTTTAATCAGATTACACTGGCCGCCTACTTTTGATTAAAAATACGGTTATAACCACGTGCAATGCTGATAAGAACCACGTGTTTATGAGACTCTTTCCCCTTTATTTTTCTTCTTTCTAGGTATTTCTTTCTCCTGATGAGGAGGGACCTTTAGCTGTCCTCGAAATCGATTGAGTGATTCAATATACTTACGCTAAATACATGGTTGTTTTTACGATTTTGACTTATCTTCTTTGCTTCAGTAACTACGTACTGTCTTTTGATAGGAAATTAGAGGGAAGAAGTAATAGTCTTGCTTGAAACATTTTTCTCAAAACGTTGTCGGTACATAATTTATCTTGATGCAAAGGTTCCCATAGTAAATGCAAGTTTAAAAGATGGCTACTTATCAGTCGTTCCTTTTGCTATGTAATATTATAGAGAAATATTTATCTTCTAGAAGCACTGCAAAATTTCTCGTTGTTGCCCCAGTTTTTCGGGTAGCAGCTCAAATATCTAAAAATTGTATCTTGAGATGCAGTATAGTTGTGTATAGTCATGTAGATATGTTTGCAAATCAGACTCTGATTTCCATGCCTCTAAACAGCCAACAGCTTTCCACATACTACTGAAATCATATAGCCCTTAGTACTATAAAAACTGTTTTCAAATAACTTGCAGCTAGACCAAATGTATGAATGTATGACGCAGGGATTTGCAAAGTAACGCAAATTTATTTCTTGAAATGCACAGGATTTAATTAAATTATATATTACTAGTTACAATTATCCTCCTAATTGGCTTAGTTCATTAAATATAGTTTAAAAGGAATTTTTTCAAATGTTTCTAAATTAACGTGCATCAGCTTTGAGCATCATTTTATGATAACCATGTTTTTGAGTTATGACAGTGAAATAAGAAATTTCAGTTACTGCAACATTCTTTAGTTGTAATTTTTACTTCTCTCCCCCCCCCTTATTCTCAAATTTGGATTTTTAAACACAGCAAAATATTTTTAAGGGAATTAATTCCTTATTCTTAAATTATATAAAATATTTTATATTTTATATTCTATATTTTATATTCATATGCAAATTTGCACAGCATTCTATTTTTTTACAAAACCAAGTTTATTTATATATAAGAAATAATTTATTATCATGATAACAGAGAAAATATAAATCAGTAAAGAGATGTATGCTTTAACTTTAAAACTGACTTTTATTTTTTATATATGAGGTGTGACACAAAATAAAAAGAGACTAAGTGTGTAGCTTGAAAAATGAGTGGAGTTGGCAACAACTGTTTTGGTGATGTCATGCCACACACCTCCTCTATATATGCGGCTAGTTTCGACTTAACCTATCCCGCCAGTTGGGAGTACTGCGCCATTGAGTGAACATGTGCAACAGCATTCTGCCGGGAAAAAATGTCTAATGTAAAAACCGAACATCGAATCAACATCAAGTTTCTTGTGAAACTTAAGAAATCAGCCATGGAAACATTTCAAATGCCAACCGTGGCTTATGGAGATGAAACTTTGTCTCGTGCACCTGCGTTTGAATGGCATAAGTGATTTTCAAGGGGAAAGGATAGTGTGGAAGATTATGAAAGTCAAGGCAAGAAAATTCAAGGCAATGTTAATTGTCTTCTTCGACATTAATGCAATTGTAATGATTGAGTTTGTTACCAGTGGTCAGACTGTTAATCAACCCTACTACATTGAAGTGCTATAAAGACTCTGGGAAAAATTTAGGAAAAAAAGGCCACAGTTAGGGAGTGATGAATGGCTGTTACACCAGGAAAACGCACCCGCTCAAACATCCCTATCTGTCAAGCAGTTTCGGACCAGCAAAAGCATTGCTGTGATGGGGCATCCTCCTTATTCACCTGATTTGGCTCCATGCGACTTTTGTTTTATTTCTTGCTGAAATTTTGATTTCTTTCTTGAAGTCTTGCTGAAAGGGAACCCATTTTACCTCAGTTGAAGAGGTTCAGGCAGAAACGGAGAATCTCTTGAAGTGCCTTTCAAAAACCTCGTTCCAGAACTGTTACCAACAGTGGCAGCACCGAATGCAGAAGTGTGTGAATGCTGAAGGGGATTACTTTGAAGGTGATAATGTCCTGGAGAATCGATTCTGTATGTACAACAATTTATTGGACCAGTCTCTTTTATGTGTGTGTGTGTCACACCTCGTACTTATATAAATTACGTAAATATAATTCAATGACTGCTTCACGCATTTCATTTATTTGCAAAATTTAAATATTTTGTTATTTATGCGGGATATTTACATTAATTTGTTTCCGCTATTCACGATATTTATATTCGTTTGGTTTCACCACGCAATAAACTTTATTTCTGCAGATATGCAGACGGACAGCCTTCGTAATTTTTTGTCGTTCCCAAATAACTTAACTTCTGAACTTAATTTTGCCTAAGTAATAATAAATTGGATTTTATTTAACTGGTGTATTTAAAGTTCATATATGTTCAGTAGTTTTAATAAAAATCAAATTTTGGAAAATAATTTATTTTGTATGCACCCTTGCGTACATTAAAAAATAAATATTCTTAAGTGATTTATTTGTCTCATTAATTTTCTGAATGTATCAAAAATGTAGTAAGTGCCGAGAAAATATAATGAAAAAATTGCTATATCTTTTAATTAATTATGCATATTAAAATGTTATAAGTAACCTTAAATATTTTGTAATCACAACAAATAATTATAATTAAACAAGAGAGTTCTCTGATATTAAATAAGTGTTCTATTCAACTTTTTGAAAGGAGCAGACGTAAGGAAAATAGTGTGGAAATTATTGGGAGAAAAAAAACCTTTAAACTGGCGAAACGATTTTCATTCTCTGATCTGTAAAACCATCGAGCAAATATTTGTTAAACAATCAAGAATAAAACTGGTTTAGTTTCTGAACTCCAAATGAATCAATAGCATCTCGAAAATATGTATGTATGATGTTATGAGCCACTTAATTACAGTAAAATTTTACGGTGATTTTTAAGAAAGAGGAAAAAAAGTAGACTATATCAAGTAGTAGTTATATTTTATATTAACTACTATAAAAGGGAGTTAAGAGGTGCTTAATTAAGAGCCTCATACTAGAAGATTAAAATTTTTTAATTTGAAGTTATTGTGATAAAGCTGAACTTTTAAACTTCATACCCACGCACAAATGCAAAAAAACCCCACGCTTAAAATATATGCCGATTTATTACTGACTTTTCTATTCGTATTTTGAATTCCCATGCATGCTGCATATTATACTGAGAATGAATGTAAGTGGAAAGTCCAGCTATTAGTCTAGTTCTTCCTGTAAATAGAATAACATAATACTTTATATCTAAAAGCCAGGGGGATTGCAAGGAAGAGGGATTACAATTTCTAAGGGACCAATGACGTCATTTTGGTATGATGTCATTCTCTGCGACTCAGTCTGCCCTCTAGCGAGCGAATCCCCCTCATTGATTGATCAGATTAGCCCGTGTCAACATGGCAGCTGAGTTTGCAGCTACCTACAAAATCCTGGTCCTGGGTGATAGCAATGTGGGGAAAACTTGCATAGTTCACCGCTTTTGTGACGAAAGGTATTACGATACATATATCTCAACTATAGGTGAGTTCGTCTTTTCCAGGTATCTTACTTCTTGAAGGTGTTATTTTTATCTGCAATTTAGAATCAACAGAATTCTAATAAATTGCAAAAAAAAAATCATTAACTGTTAAAATAGCTATACGTGATGTTAATTTCGGTTCAATCTCATTTTTATCTATCTGAAAGCATGTATTTCCTGAAACTAATATTCTGATAGCAACCATTTTTAGACGAACACTACCGTTAATGCTTAAATTATTGTATTATGTATTCTTGAAACGCTTGCCTTTCTTTTGAAAATGAAAACTAAACCTGAATAAATTTATATGAACTAGTTATGAATAATGAAGCAGAATTTAGTTCATGTGCACCACATAATAATGAATTTAGTATAAATATTTCACTTATTTTAGCACGTGAAATCTTGCTACTCATTACTGCAGGTTCATAATATTGTATATATTCACTAGGTGCTATTTCATAACATGTCTAAAAACGTTGCGCAGAATTCAGAGTCAAAATTTTAATGTTTCTGCTAAAGAAAATAGTCCTTCTATTCAAAAATAGTCTGACAAAAGATCTTAAGAAACCGATTTATTCTTTATGTTGCTACTAATTCACGAATCACATACTTTTTTAACTTTCTTGAAATAAATTTAAAATAGCCAGAATTTCTTCTATGTAGTAAGAAATTAACTTCATCAATGTATAACTTATTGTGTATATTTATTTCTGATAGTTTTACTTTCAGGCGGGTCAATGATAATTTAAGTGTTCCTTTAAGAGATTATTTTAACTGTTAAAGATAACTTTTTTTTTTCAAAATAATCAAAAGGCCTAGGCGATATAAATGTACACATTTTGAAACCCATTGACATAAATGCTGCACATACATTTGCGATAAAAGTTATTGCTTATTTAAAGCAACGCAACTGAAGCAGTTTGGGCTGCGATAGTTGAACAATAGCAAGAGACTCATTGTTATGTTAATTCTTTGGTTTATGACAGCTGAAGCTTTAGCCTTTGTTGTTTCTTAGAGTATATTAGAAACAGTGTTACGTTTTTTGAATATTTATAGCGTCTAAAAGTCCCATTATCGTACTTCTTAAAAAAAGCTGTCATATTTTTTTCTAAAGTCGAATATTAATCATAATCTTACTTTCATTTTCCTCTCTGAATATATACTTACATATATGCGCAAATATAAGCTTTAAAATAAAAAAGTTTAGCGAAACGTTTTCAAAATAATCAACAAAAGCAAACTTTTAGCAGAAAATCTTCAAAAGTGTTTCAATCTTTTAGCGCAAGACAGATGACATAATTTGAAAAAATACTATAGTATATTTGATATTATATGATTTTAAATGATATCGCAGTCATTAGTATTATAGGAAATCGTATCATTTTCGAAAATGAGAAATTGATGAAATGTTTATCCAAAGGAACAGGTCCCAATTTCAAAGTCAAGACCAATATTTTATTCTTATATTTTGCATCATTTGTACTTTAAAATGTTACAATGCAATTCTATTGGTTTTCGTTTTCCCTGTTTATAGAGATTTACATTTTACTAGATTTTTATTGCTGATATTATTAGAGATCCTTCACAGCAAATACATCGTCAAAAGTGTTCTACCTTCACAGAATAGGCTGCTTATGTTTCCAGCATTAACAGTTAACTTGAATTAGTACATCTACGTTTGTACTGTGAGTATTTAAAGTTACAAGCACTTTCATTCCATTAAGCTACGTTTCAATAAGAAACCAAACTCTGAGTTTAAAAACAAAATGCTCTGAGAAAGGAGTTTTTATAGTACTGATTTTATTCTTTCTAGTTTCATGCTTAATTTGTGTTATACAGTTATGTTTATGCCCTAATAGTTAAAGATTTAGCACATAATACTCAGATTAGTTTTGAAAACTTGTATAGATATATATGAGACTGATCCACATTGTACACATATGTAACAAAGATGCGTAAATTTATACATTATGTTGTTGTTGTTGCCGTGTCTATATTATATGGAACAGTGGTTGCCAGAGCCTACTCCGAGGAGATGTTGGACTTCTATATGTATCATGTTGACCAGTATAATAAACGGCTTAACGTTTTAGACAACCTTCAAATTTTGGAAGTGCTTTACAAGGTAAAATAAAAGATTGCATATGAAACGGTATCGGTATAAGAGATTAAATGAAGTTGTTCTACAAAGAAGATTTATTTAATAGTCTAAATAGCTTATCTTAAAACTAGGTGAATCACTTTTTTCTTTTGAGCTCAGAAGTCATTAATGTACTTTTAATCATTAAGCTGCTTATAATGTTAAGAAAGGTGTGGTTTTCATAATGGCTGCATTTGTTTCGGGAGAGATTCTTGCTCTCACAATATATAAGTGTGTGTGTAGGATAAAAAATAACTAAAACAAAATTCTAACATTAATTTGTAATATCTCTTAAATCTCTTTTTTAATTTGGTTATTTACCCTTTCTAGCCTAAAATAGTAACATACTTATAATAAACCTATATAAACTGCTTTAAAATTAATCTTTATCACATGACTCATATGTAATGTTAGGCAAGCAGATATTTAGATATCATTTCATACAATAATAATATTAAAATTTGAAAACTTAAACTTAAACTAAACAATAACTAGTCAAAACCCAGGCTATAGCATTCTTAATCTAATCTTCGAAATTTCTGAACCTCCTTCTTCATAAAATATATTGCTATAAAAACTTAAAATGTCATAAATGAAATTATTCAAAAACGAGTTCTCATTGCCCCATTTAAGTTGTACATTTTGTATCCTAAAATTTTTCAGCAACAATAAAAGGAAGTGTTTAAACAGCCATGTTGATTGTTATAATTGTTATGCACCAAGCTCCGTAATTATTATTTATTCCATGCAGTGTCGAAAATATTTTATGTGTGTTTATGACACCCTGAATTAATATGTCTTCATTTACCTATATATCCTGAATCAAAGTATATAGGTGAATGAAAAGGGGAATACATATGAATTTCAGGTTATAATAACATCCTGAAATTTATGTGTGTTTCTTTACCTATACAACATTAAAGCAAACCCAAAAGGAAGTATATATGAGGCATTCGAGACTGTAGTAAATATTCTTAGGAAATATTTCATTTTGAAAATAATATCAAAAAACTTAAGGCCATTAATCCAGGTTTATAGATTTCTTACTGTCACCAAAAATAATTCTCAAAGCTTTAGAAATTTTTCCAGCTCTAATAAATATATTCAGTGCATTTTTACCCATATGTGCATTTCGAAGAAGCAGCTAAAGACGGAAAAGGAAGCAATTTATCAGAAAATAAGTACAGCATATAAATACATATATTCATTTTGTGAGCTGGAATAACTCAAAGATGGGCTACATAATTCTTTTTTAGAAAGAGAGTATCTAATTTATCACCTTTTATATACTATACATATATATTTATGTATATACTATACATAGCTTAGTGTTTCCTTTAAGAATAATATAAATTACAAATACGCTGTGAAATTTGGCTTAACAATAGTTTTTAACAATGCATGTGCCCTCGACAAATTTATTACTAAACTGAAGGTTAAAAATCAAGAGCAAAGCTCCCTTGTTCAATTCAGAATATTTTGAATGATTAGGATGGTACACAACAATGTCTGAAGAATGAATGTCAAATTAAAAATTTTAATTAGGTAATTAGTATAAATGTTATGATTATATGAATGAAGAGTGTAGAATTTTTATGACCTCAAAGATTCGAATGTATTCTGGATCTTAAAGGAAGATTGCGTGTTGAGCAATCTATATATATTGAATTTTTACTGAATTTCATTTATATCTATGAAATTTCCTTTTTTCTTCGAATTAGAAAATTTGGCAGAAGGCACATATCATTTCTGAAACAGATTTATTTCCAGTTCGAATCTTTTAAAATACTTATATTATTTTTGTACCCAGTTTTTGAAACGGAAAGCGCTAGCTCTTTTACTTATGATTAATCTTGAACATAAGGATAATTTATGCCTTGAAACTACAGCAGACTTGGAAACATTTTAATGAAATTTCTGCGAAGTCTTTCATTGCCCACATGTGGTTATGGACAGAATTATGAAGAGTAAAATAGGAATCTTCTGAGCACCAAGTAAATCTGCGGTATCCTGTAATAAATGTTTAAACTTATAACGTATTTCTTTGGATATAATTTAAAGCAAAATTTCAATGATAATGAAGCACTCTATTTGTTTCTGTAATAAATGTTGAAAGTAAGACGAGTTTTCTGTATTTACTCTAATTAAGTAAAATATTTGCCAGATATTTATTCTATTTACGTGCTCAAGTTATTTCGATAGGCATGAGCACTAGCAGATAGATACAGATGGCCTTCAACTTTCGCACATCATTGGTTTCTTAAAATGTGTTCGAACGTGAAATATTCCAAAGTAGACGAGTGTAAAACATATATCAAAAATTGCGTTTTAAAATATTTATTTTTCAATAATACGTATTATTTATTTATCAATATACATAATTAAGTCAATGGGGAGTGTTTAAGCGTTTTCATGTGGCTTCTTTATACACATGTCAAGAGTTAGTTGAGTACCATCTTTTTTTTTAATACTTGGTAGAGTTCTATAACATACGGTGCCTTTCCCTATCGCTCTACATACTTGAAATAACGTTTTTCACTAAGCAGTCACATTCTTCCATGACAATAAAAAACTTTGGGGAGATCCTTGAAGGTTTTGTGCATATTTTTGACTGTCAAAGAGTTGACGATATTATCAGCTTCTTTTTCCTCACTTTGATTGCGTATTTTCATAAACGCTTGTTGCTTAATTTGTCAGGACTGCTATTCCTTCTAATTGCCTTGGGAAACACTACTGGACTCCTGAGTAGGAGCAGGGAGCTTACTCAAACTATGCTCGTGTGTGTGTAGACAAACAACATAAATAAGAAGGGTATTTATTTCTCACAGCGCACAGCCTCTCTCGCACTTCAGCATACAG